GCCTCCACACCTGTTGTCGAACACCAACCCATGCGCGGCGTACACCTGGCTCCCCGACACGCGCAGCACGGCGCCTCCCGACGCAACCACGCGCGCACTCGCGTACAACGCATAGTCGCCACCGAGCACAGCCGCGTCCAGCGCGACACCGCCACCGACAAGCTCCAGCACGGCGCCGTCCACCACCACCGTCCGCCCACCAGTCATCACCGTCACGAGAGCAACGCCGAACACAACCAGCACGGACCGCATGAGCCGCAGGCCCGACAGCACAAGCACCGGTGCGTACGGCGAGGACTGCGAGCCGGGAAGATACGGAAGCGGCGTCGGCCTCGCAGCAACCAGCAGGGAGTCCGTCACCGTCAGCACAGACCCCGCGGGGAACGTGCCGGTCAGCACAAGCGCACCGTTCAGCGCCTCCACGTCGCACATGGACAGCTCCACCGGCCCGCTCTCGTCGCTCCCCGCCGCTCCCGCACCGCGCAACGATCCACCGCCCATCACGTACAGCACGGCACCGTTCAGCAGCGACACGTTCTGCACAACGATCCGCACGCCGTCCCGCGCCATCCACGGCACGTAGAGCACCGGGCTCACGCCGTCCAGCACAACGTGGCGCAGCGTCACCTCGCTCGCACCGGCAGGCACAACGAACACCGACTGCACCGTCACGCCCTCGCGGACAAACAAACTCGACGCGGTGCCCACAGCGGGCGGTAGTGCGAGAGCTCCCACAGGCACGCACGCCTCGCCGTACCCGCCGCTGCCGCACACGCACACGCACACACCGTTCCTCATGCTCGCAGAGGTCGTCCCGGGCGCGTAGCAGTGTGTGTCCCTGTCGCAGTCGTCGCACCCAGCAACGTCGATGCTCCCAGCGTCGCCAAAACCAGCCGCTGCGTACTCCTCCGCCGTCGACAGGACATGTCCACCAGCGTCGTTGCACGCCACCCTCAAATGCGCCCCAGCCGCAAGCGACAGGCTCAGCGACAGCATCCGCGGCAGCAGCGCTCGGTTGCGCACAAAGCTCAGCGTGCTCCCAGCAGCGGTCACGGCGCCAGCAGCGTAGAGCATCTCCCTCGAGACGCCGTCGTGCACGTTGCCCTTCGCCAGCAGCATCGACCCGCCGGCCAGGCTCACAGTCGAATAAAACGCCACCGCGTAGTCCTCCGTCGACAAAAAGTCGTTCCGCACAAGCGCCACGGCGGAGCCCGACACACTCACAGCCCTACGCACAGACACCGCGTGCTTGCACAGCAGGAAGTCGCTGTCAACAAACGCCACCACGGAGCCGCCGCTGGCCGCAACGCCGCCCTCCACCGACACGCACAGCCCCAGCGCCGTCTGCACCAACAGTCCGTCCACGTACAGCGCACCGCGCGACGACAGCGCCACGCCGCCAACCACCAACACGCCAACAGCGTCGCGGAACACAGCCGCCACCTGCGTTCGCGCAATTGTCAGCACGCTCCCCGTCAGATTCACGTTGTGCACCACGAGGCACGCAGACGCGTCGCCAAGGTCGTAGGCGCCGCGGTACGCAACACGCGCCTCTGCTATCAGCACCGAGTCCACCACAGTGACGCGCGAGCCCGGCGAAAACCGGTTCGCCACCAGCACACCGCCGCCAGAACACGACTCAAGACCGCTGATCAACACATCAACGCGCTCGCCAGCAGGCGGGTCGGACCGCCACCCAACAACGTACAGGCTCGCTCCGCGCAAAAACGTGCAGTTCGCCAGCGTCACGTTGCGCACGCTCCCTGACATCGACTCCACGTCCACCACGACGTCCGCCGCAAAGGTCACACCAACGTAGCACACCACCGACGTCCCGAGACCGGCGTTCACCAATTCATCCACACGCACGTCACGCACGCACAAGTCGGAACCGTCGGTGCTCGGTGGCTCGGGAGCAGCAACGGGCAGGCACGCATCGCCGTGGCCGCCCTCAGCGCACGTGCAGGCGCAGCCATCACTCGAGGCCGTCGTCGTGTGCGCGGGGAAGCACCACGCCGCGAGAGTGCATGGATCACTGCAGTTTAAGATGGTGACATTGTACACGGACGGAACACTGTATTCCACTCCTTCCTCGCCGCTCACAGTGTTGCACGCAGCCACAATCGCTCCGTTTGTGAGATCGCGGGAACTTTGAGGTATCAGCAGCATTGTTGGCGAGACGGTGTTGGACATGAATCGGTTGCCAGACACAGACATCGTGGAATCGCGGAGATTCACCGTGGGGCTCAGCACAGCAAACGCATCCCGTGGAGACACGCGGCAAAGGTTGCCGTTCAACTGCAGCCAGGAGTTGTAGTAGATGTTGGCGGCAAAAGTTGAATAAAACACAGCCAAGTTTCCCTGCATGTCGTTGCCATGAAACACAACCGCTGACCGAGACTCCACACGTGATGTCCAAAGAAATAACATGAAGTACTTCACCGGCCTCGTCACAAGATTGCCTCGGATCACCACGGCAGAGTTGTTCAGAACCCTCAGTGACAAGGATTGTCTAGACCCTTCAAGATATATCAGCGTACTGTCACCGCCAGCCATATGAAACGTGTTGCCCACCACCGCAAACACGGAGTGCCACAACACACTCAGCGCAGATCTGATAACGTAAATGGCGCTTGACGATGCCGTCACGCTCTGAAACACATTGCCACTGAACACCGCCGCGGAGCCGTTGCTGATCGCCAGCCCATTCATCACAACGCACGACGGCCTCCTAAGGCCCAAACCCGGCCGAGGGATCAGCCTCGTGACCGTAAAGCGGTTCCCGCTGATCGTGATGTTCGTGTGCGGTGGAAATCCACCCTTCGGGCTGAGCAGCGCGTCAATGAATGTGTTGCCGGTGACGACGATGTTCAGCGACCCCACAGCGGCGTTCGCGTTGCCCAACAGCAACAGCAGGGCGCCGTCCCTCCACGTGCATCCATCAAACGTGACGTTCGCCACGTCGCCCTTCATCCCCCCAATCAGCACCGTCAGGCTCATGCCGCCCCCGCTGAACGTCACGTTGCGGTAGCACAGCCACGACAGCCCGCCGCCCACAGCCTGCGCAACCTCGGGGTACGCCATGTCGCTGATGCACTCACCAACCGGCGGTGGTGGTGGTGCTGGCGGCGATGGCAGTGGCGGGGGAGATGACGGCGGTAACGGTGGCGGGCCAGCAGGCACAGGCGCCGGGACACACACATCGCCGTGCCCTCCAGCAGCGCACTGGCACTTGCAGTCAATGACCGCCGTCGTCAGCGGGGCAAAGCAGTCGCCGTCCTTCGTGCACTCCCCGCACACTGCAACAGCCGTCACGTTGGTGATGCCGTTCAGATCCAGTTCAGCCGCCGTCGTCACCACCCGTCCCGCGACCGTCAGACACCCAGCAACGAACCGGTAGCCGGCGCCAGCCTGCGATAGCAAAGGAACAGACAACCCCGTCGAGCCCATCCTGCAGCCCGTCAGCGTCACAACACTGCTGCTGTCAATGGTCACAAAAGCGGATCCACTGTCGTAGAACATCGCACCCATTTCCACGTCGTTATCGCGCCAATCCAACCAGCTTGACTGCTGAACAGTCCACAAGTCATCGTTATAGATGGTGTAGCGAGCTGAGCCGCTGTTCCCCGCCACGCGCAACACGCTGTGATCCGACACGCTGAATCCGTGGTGTTGATACAGCAGGCTTACCCCGGAGAACATCGTATTGTTGAGCAGCGCAAAAACGGAGTGGCCACTCACACTGAGCCTGTACACGTAGAACAGGTATTTGTATCCCTCAAAGCTGCAGTACCGCACGTACAGCGAGCTGCCACCCACCAGCGCCAGCGTCCCGGTCGAGTACAAACCAAACGCATCATGCTTCGTTGCATGCGCTTTGACGTTGCTCACCAACAGCGTTGACGCATTCAACACGACGTCGTGCAGCACCACAACGTTCCACATGTTGTACACAGTACCCGATAATTCAAACTCGAAGTTCTGTACCGCATCAACCTCCGTGATGGCGATTTCGCAGCGCTGCGGGAGGGCAAGTGAAAACACAACGACAGAGGACCGCATCACCGCCTGGCCCACACGGATCAGGACGCCGGATGACTCCGCCGCCTCAGCACCCCCAACAAACTGCAGCGCGGCACCCTCACGGAACGTGCACCCGGTGAGCGTGATGTTGATGGGGAGATGCAGCGGCATGCTGTTGAGAGAGAACGTCAACACAGCACCCACGCCGCTGAACGTCACACCCGCGTAGCAGTGGTGCGTCTTCCACATGTTCAGCGTGAGGCTCGTCAGCGTCTTGTTCACCACGCAGCTCGTGTCGCCGTCGACGGCTCTCTCCGGCACGGGCGGCACAACCGTGGTGGGCACCTCGAAGGGAAGACACGACGCGCCGTGCCATCCGTCCTTGCAGCTGCACGAGCACGAGCCGCGGTCCACCAACTCCGTCCCGGGCTTGAAGCACGCCGCGTCATCGTTGCATGTGCCACACCCAAACACCACCACCTCCTCCGGAAACACGCCGGCGTACGACACCTCCTCATCGCCCTGCAGGTTGCACCCAACCACAAACCGCTCGGGTGACGTCGCAACAATGCTCAATTTAAAAAGCTTGGCAAAGAGTGCGCTTCCCTCCACCTGACGGTTGTTTGCAAGCACCGCGGTGGTGCTGCTGCCCGAGAAATAAATTCTTTGCCAGGAATACTGAATGGTTAATACTGAGGCTGCACCCACGCTGTTGCCCTCCACACGCCACTGCGCACCACCCTCAATTGTCACCGAAGCAGACAAATACACCAGCGCGGGATCAAAAATTTCCGTCCCACCAGCGAAGGTGCAGTCCGCCACTCTCAGCAGCCCCGCGGAGCTCACGGTGGTATCCCCAAAAATATAAATGCCATTGACTGACCTCATCGTGTTGTTCTCCACGTCAAAGTAGCCGCCGTTCTTCAAATCCACAGCATTAACGCAAACAGATGATTCCACACCGTCATCATCCTTCGTTGTGCTCAGCGTATTTCCCTTCACAACAATCCCGCCACCATCAACAACAACAGCACTGATGAAATAAACTGCGTACCTATTCGCCTCGATGTAGTTTTCGAGTAGCAGCAGCGTCATTTTCGCACTGAGAGTAAACTTCACAAATAAAATGGCGTGGTCCGACGTCGTCACAAGCGTACAGCCCACCACCAGTATCTGGGAGCTCGCGCCGAAATCACCCCTGAACTCCAACTCACCAGAATCCAGCATCGAGGATGTCACGCTCACGTGCACGCGCGTACCACTCCCCTTGATCGACAGGCCCACGAGAACGCACTGCAGCAGCGTGATGTTGAGTGTCTGTTGTGGTGCGTCGAAATGTGACAGGTCCAGCACAATCGCGGCGGTGAAGGTCACGTTGACAAAGCACAGAACACGCACACCGGGATCAGGATCGTCCACGGAGCTGATGCTGCCACCGTGCACGCAGCGGACCTCCGTGTCCTTCGCATCGGGGAGCGGAAGCGGTCCAAGGCCTTCCGGAACCGCAGCCGGCAGACACGTGTCACCGTAGCCGCCAGCAGCGCACACGCACTCACAGCCGCTGATGCTGCTCGTCCTCGCAGCGAAGCACACGGAGTCCATGGTGCACGCACCGCAGTCCAACACCATCACGGGCACTCTAATATTGAGGTCGACTCCGTAATCCGTCACAGGTGAGCCTTTTGCCTCGTTGCACATGCCGTAGATGATCGGGCGCGCGTCGGATGGTGGTGACCAGTTGCTCGTCATATGTGCGATGGTCGACGAGTACGAGCCATACGTGAAGTTGTTGTCAAGTATCGACCACACACTCCGATCGCGGAACACCATGCCGTAGTAGGCAGCCACGTACACAACGTAGGCCGAGCGGAACTCGTTGTTGCGGTGCACCAGCCAGCTGCCGCCAGTCACAGTCAGCGTTTCTGCAATGAGCATGACAAAGCCGAGACGGAACGTGCTGGACACAATCTGCAGAACGCTGCCGCCATCCACCGCGACATCCCTAAACACACACGCGCCTTTGCCATATTCGGTGCTCGGCGCACTCCACGAGCTGTTCTGTATGGAGAACACGGAGTCGCCGCTGACACGCAAATCCGACGCAAGAGCGTACATCACGTGTGCCCGCGACATAACAGCGCAGTTGTCCATGTAGAAGACGCTGGACAGATTCGCGACGAAGCCGCGCTCCACGAGCATCGCAGCGCACGAGCCCCCGCCACACGCTAGCGACGACCGCGTCATGACAAACCGCGTCGACAGAAGCCGGACGCCGTCCAGGACAAGCGCGGGGCCGTACCGAAATCCCTCAAAGCCAGGGGTCGTCGGCACGTACTGCGACCCGCCAACCGTCGCGCGCAGCGTTGAGTTCGCCAGCAGCACACTCGAGTGCAGCGGCATCGCGCCATGCAGCACAATCGTGCCCTCCAGCGACGTCACGTTCGTCATGTTGACGAGGGCGTGCGGAAACAGGTGCGCTGTGCTCTCGCTGAGGCCGCCAATCCGCAGCTGCGCACCGCCCGCAAGCACGCAGTGGCACAGCGTCACGTTCAGCGCGTCAGCGAACGCGTCCATCGAGCGCAGGTCCACCGCCACAGTGATTGGTCCGCTGAGCACCACCGAGTCAAGGCACGCCATCGCCTGCCCACCACCAACCGTCACCGACTCCGTCAGCGTCACGCCACTCACGCAATCCTCCACACCGCCACCACCACCGGCCCTCGCAACCGGCACTTCGAACGGCAGGCACGCCTCGCCCACACCGCCGGCACGGCAGCCGCACAAGCAGTCGGAGAACGACGCTGTCAGCGCATCAAAGCACGCCAGCGCGGCCTCACAGCCGTCGCAAGGCACCACGCTCACGGAGGGAAGGCCGGCCATGCGGTAGTCGCCGCCGCTCTGCAGCACCCGGCCGCCGGCACGGTTGCACTGCACCGACACGACGCCGCTCGTGATCGTCAGCCCGGAGACAAGCGTCGCGCCGGCGGCAACGCAGCGCGCAATCGACACGGTGCCGCCGCCCAGCGTCACCCCCGACAGCGACGCCACCGACGACGCCTCGCCCACCGCCCACACTTCGCGCAGCTCCAGCCACCCGCCGCCACCGATCGTCCCACCGTCGCAGCGCACCAGCGACGACGCAGCAGACCCCTCGACGCCCACAAAGCGCAGCACCGAATCAACCACCTCAAGGCGCTCTCCAAGCACAATGCCGCCGCCGCTGCTCACAACCGACATGTTCGTCACGGAGAACACCGAGTGGCTCCGCAGACTGAGACGCGACGAGGACGCCACATGCATCGCGGACGCGGTCGGACCGGCCGACGCCTCCAGCAACACGCCGTCAAGCACCACCGCGCTCGACAGCAGGTCCACGCCGCCGCCAACGTGCACCGCCGACCCGCCCGCGTGCAACGACCTCAGCACAGTGCTGCTCACACGCAGCTGCGTCTGCAACAGCGACGTCGCGTACAGCACAAGCGGCGACGCCACCGCGTCCGTCAGCCCGCTCAGCTGCGAGTAGCGCATCGGCCCCGCCGTCACAATCGTCGAGTCACGGACCGTCACGTTCGTGTGTGCCGGCAGGTTGTGCACAAACACGAGCGAGCAGTAGTCGCCGGACAGCCCGCTCACGCTCACCTCCAGGCTCCGGTCACTCGCCGGCTCGCCGCCGTAGCCCCGCACGTAGATCTGCGCACCGCCGTCGCACACGCAGTTCCTCAATTCGATGCGCAGCGTGCCGGGAAGCATCGCCGCCACGTCGAACACCACAGCCACGCCGTTCGTAATGGACACGCCGTCCATCAGCACCGTGTCCACGGCGTGGCCAACCGTGATGGCTCTGTCCACCGTGCCGCCCCGCAGTCGCAACACCACCGTGTGCGCTGCGGGCATCCACGCAGCAGCTGCTGCCAGCGCCAACACCACAAGCAGCGCCATACGCACAGCCGCAATGGCCCTGCGCCGCACACGGTGCCGGCTGCGCGGACACGCACCCACCGCAGACCACATCCACCAACCCAACCAGGTATCAATAGAGCTGTCGTGGTGTGTCGCACTCGCCCCGTCGACCATAACTCCTGTCCAACAAATCCCTTTCTACAGATGGCGAATTCAGTGACACTATTCCGCCAGATCGTTATCCCACTGCTACTAATCCTAAGACCGCGAGTAATCCCTAACACCTTGAAACGATAGTTGTGCTGGTCAAGCAAAAGTATCTCTAACTGTACGCTCAAAAAAAAAGAATAAAAGAAAGCAAAAACAGTAACCAAGCACAGTGGCACACAGAGGCATCCGGTCATAGACAATAACCATCACAGTACAGCCGCCGGCACAAAGCAGCGCAGACGCAATCAAGTCAGTGACACCATCGCCCTCGCACCTCCCACACAACCTCACGCAGCCACCGTGCCGAGTGGCGGAATCCCGGCAAAAAGCAACATGACCACTTGCACCGCTTCTGTTACCGAATGGCTGCATCACAGGAAAGTCCCGATGCCGCGCACGACACACAAGAGCCAAGACAGACCACGTAGCAGCGTTAAGACCGCCAGCCATCAAGCGCGTCCGAAAGGTTGTTGTTGGTGTTGGTGCGTAAGTGGAGTGGAGAGGTCGCCGGTCGCCAGCAGTCAAAGCATCGTTTCTTGTTCACGCGATTCGGCGTTGCGCAGCAATCAGCGGCACCATGCGCGCACGGCATACACAACAAAGTAAAAATAAAGAAGCACGGCAGCACTCAAGCACGGGGAAAAAGGTCCACATCGATTTTGCATTCCGATTGGCTAACAGACATCCTGATGGTGGTCGCGCCGCTGCTCTGCGGTGCGTGTGGCGTGTGACTGCAGTGGACAGAGGGGATGATGAGAGGGGTGAGAGACGCAGTGCGGCCCTCATCCATCTCGGTTGACTGTGACACCGGTGACGTCCTCCCGTCAGATCACCTGCAGCAAAGACCGTCGCCGTCAGCAGCGGTCGGCGCCTTCCCTCTCCCACTGGGGTGTAACTCCACCAACGCAGTCGCTCGTCTCCTCCCCCACCAACACAACGAGGGGGCAGCGGCAAAAGATGAGAAACGCACGGCAAGCACGCAGTCGCAGAGCTCCACTGCTGCCGCCATGGCCAAACAAGGTCGGCTGCAGGGCGCAAAAAGAAGAATAAACACCCCATCAAACGCTTTGGCACCACGTGGAATCCTCGCAACCGACACACAAGGCGAAGCGCCGTGAAGCAGGCACCAAAATCAAAGCTCCTACAACAAATTCATCGTGAAGCAAAAGAAAATATTATGCGAGCGCAGAAAAAATTCACACAAACTGAAAAACAACAATGACAATGCAGAGGCAATAAATGGTTGTGGTGAGCAGTAGCCGTGGCATCGCACCCTTCCCACATCAAACGGCACCGCACCACAACGCAGCGTAACGACAGCCTGCAATGACGACGATTGAGTATCACGCAAAAAGCGGCATAAACGTTTCATCCCGCACTCGCCCAAATTTACGCTCTCAGTATGTACTGCCAACAATATCGGGAAGGACACGGAAGGGGACTGTGTCATCCATCCTCCTTCTGCCCACAATAGATCTTCCCCATCCTCCTCCTCGCTACACCCTGGGTGCCGCAAAACGCCGTCAAGCAAATCTACGTCTATGGAAGCCCCCAATGCGCGGGGCGAGGCTGGCAGCCACCCACGCTCACTCTCCCGTACATATCCTCTCCCACAACTTTGCACACACAAAAGGGCGAAGACATGGAGAAGAGAAGCCCGCCGCACAACGCACGCAGAGACACCGCCATCCACGCCGTACCGCAAGATAGAGTCGTGCGCACCGCACACGCACGGCGGCAACGAGATGGACGGGGCACATCCAAGTCCATGGCGCTGTCGCTTACTTCCCTCCGCCCCGACGGATTGGAATTACGCCCCACAGCAGGTCGTGGTGGATTGGCGTCCCACACGCGCAGTGAGGCACGGCGCACACCGTCCGCTCCCCTCCGAGTGCACTCAGCAGGCCGGCACCCAGTCACCCTCGTGCCATTGCAATGGGGGAACACAAAAACAATCGTCGTCGCGGACCATCGATGCCTCAAGCAGTAAAAAGAAGCGGGGCATGTCAACAGCACAGCCAGCAGAGGGACACTCAACAGAACACGGAGACACACAGTGGTAGTGAACACAACACAAAAAATAAAATAAACCGTGGCTATTTACCAAAACACAAAAAAAAGGGTGAGAGTCCAGAAAAACTCCCAAAAATATAAAAGGAAAAAAATAATTCGGAAAAACGTTTATTTCATGTACCAGGGAGTAACATGCAGTCATGTGTTTGTGTGTGCATATTGCCTGCAACAACAAAAAAAAGTCAAAGAAAAGACCTTACTGTTCCACCAGCCCACACAACATCCTTCACATTTCGCGCGGCATCCGGCCTGTTCTTCCAATCCTCGTTTCGCGCAGTCCATGGGACGCACAGCCGCAGAGCCGGCACCGCGTGTAGGCAGTAAAAAGCAAAAAAGAAAAAGAAGCACTTCACTCATGTCGGTATGTCGCAGACACCCATTAAGTAAAGAAGAGACTGAGGATGCAAAGCTGGACAGCGATACGTCCGGTGCTGCTCCCCATTCTCCAACACCGCACGGTGGCAACGGCACACACCCGTCCAAAGAAAAAAAAGAAAAACACGGCGGCAGGGTGTGGCTGTGTGTGTGGCGCTGCGGGTGTCTGCCCGCCCTGACCGCAAACAAAACAAAACAAGAGGGAAGAAATGTGTGCTCCGCCCCACAGGCCCTCGTCGCACGCCCACACGTCACGGCTCCCGCAGCGCGCCGTTCGTCGCGGCCCCGCCTCATGCGTGCAGCAGGCGAGGCGCACAGGGCCGTCGTCATGAGCGTGTCGGTGGTGTGCGAGTGGAGCAGTTGGGCGGGAACACACGGCACCCCTCACGGGAAGAGTGCGGAACAAACAATTAAAGAGGGAAGAGTAGAAAAGAAAACGTCCATCGTGATTGCCCCCAAAAGCAAAAGAAAGAAGGGATGAGAGATGAAAGATGAAAAAAAAAGAACAAAAAAGCTTTTTTAAACGAGAAAAGAAGCAAACAGGAAAATAAATTTAAAATACGCAGAAAAAAAAAGGGAATGGGTTTGTACGAAATAAATAAACGCTCATAGCAAAAGCAAATTAAAAAAATTACAAAAAGAAAACAAACAGTTACGGTGCTCCGCCCATGCAGCCAGGCAGGACGGCAGCGGTGCGTGTCGTGCAAAAGAGAGCACCAACGGGCCTGCATGGGTGTGCATGCATATATACAATGGGCACATTATTGTGTGTGCCTCGTGGGGTGAGGTGAGGGCGAGAGTCCATGCAAGGGGACACACACACAGAGAGAGAGAAGGAAGAGTGTGTATGCGGGCGGTGCACGGCTCTCTCTCACACTCACTCTCACGCGGCCACCACCGCAGCCGCAGCCGCACACGCAACAACAAGAAGAAGAAAAAGAGGGGAGGTGGTGTGGGAGACCGCGGTGCTGCTGTCACTGTCGCCTATAGTCTTCGTATGATTTGTTTGGGTGGCAGCGACTGTTTCTGTTGATTGTGTTGTTGCCTCACTGAGTGTTGTGGGAACTTTGGTTTTGCCAGCATCGGAGTTGTCGTGTGATTCATTGGGGTTGGGCCGTTGAGCATCATCCTCATCCACCTTACTCTGGGCTTCACCACTGCCCCCTGTAGAAGTCGATGGTGCTGTAATTCTTGCTTGACTTCCTGGAGATGAATTCAGCATCGAAGCTGGTGTGGTTGTTTCTTGACCATGTTGCTCCGGGAAATCATCTTTTAAAGGCGGATCAGGTGCGCTGGACTCCGTTTTGGTTTGTAACTGTGACTTATCATGCGATTCTTGTGATGGATTCCGTGAATCTGTTGGTTCCGTTGTTCGACTTCCATCCATTGATGATGGTTCTGCGGGTGCTGGTGGCCGTGCTGGCCCTGTTGGTGCAGTTGGGCCTCCTCTTTCTGCCGGTGCTGTTATTTGTACCTGCGATTGTTGTGGCGGTGGTTGCTGCGATTGTGACTGTTGCGTCCGTTTCATTTCTTCCTCTCCCGGTTGATGCACATCTTTTTCCTTTTCTTCTTCTAATCTTTTTTCGTCTGGAGTTTCTTCGTCAGATACTTCTTGTTGCGTTGGCTGCTCTGAAAGCCGTTCTTGATTTTTTGAATTTTCACCGTCTTCTGCAACGCTTTCCTCTTCTCCATCTTCGTTTTGATTTTTTTTTTCTCCGCTTCCTTCCGGAGATTTTACTGCAATTATTTCTTGTGATACTTCACTTTCTGGTAATATTGATCGTGGACCCGATGTGCCTGTTCCTGGCAGTGAAGATGGTGCTGGTCCCGGCCCGCCTTTACCGTCATTCGAAAGACCACCAGGTGGACCGACAACAAGTGCCGTATCCTCCTCTTCATCACACCTACCACCGGCACCGCACCACAGCACGCAGAGGGCACACACCAGCAGCTCACGGCCAGTCATCATCATCGCCATCACTTCTGTCACTTGCGTGTAGCCTTCAGCACAAACCAACTCCCCGCCACCGCAGAGTAAAAGCAAAAGTAAACAAGAGCAATAAAGTTAGAAAAAAACAAGAACTGCAATAAATGGCTCCGGTGCAAATGCGCCCATCCAAAAATATGTGCCTATTTAAACAATCCTGTGTCTGTCATGCATACGAGTGTGTCCGCGATGCATTCAACGTGGCGGATACAGGGAGCCACAACGCGGAGCACACAGCACGGCAGTGTAAGCAAAAAAAGCAAAAAACGATCATCATAATTAATCTTACTTTATTTACATCGGACCACAGTAGACGTACACATGTCCCCGTGGCTTTAAGTGCTGGCACGCACAGCCCGCACACACCTCTTCAGCCCACAGCGGTGTACGCCAGCGCGGATGCGGCGAGCAGCAGTGGGGCACACACCCACGCAGAGCTGCTGAGGCTGCCGTCGATTTCGCGAAGACGTGACGGTGCGCGGGTGGTCGTCGTGGTTGGTGCCTCTGTAGTCGTAGTTGTAGGGGTTGTAGTTGGTGCCTTTGTCGTAGTGGTCGTGGTGGTGGTTGTCGTAATTGGCGCCTCAACAGACTTCTCTGGTGCCATTGGCAAAGTAGATTCCTGACTCTGCGACAATTCCTCACCGCTCCTCACATTTTCCGCCTGCAACACCTCTTGAGACTGTGCGGACTGATTCGCTAAGCCTGGTGGCTCTGGATTATCGCTTGCCGGAATTGGTGTCCCTGGCAGAACTGACGCATCTGTTTTCTGTCCACTGGTGGCCGAGACCGCTTTCGTTGGCAAAGAAAGTCCTTCACTTCCTAAACCTTCCTCACCGATCCTCCCATTTTCCGGTTCCGCACCAGGGCCATTACTTGATAACTGTCCCTTTTCGAGAGTACCTTGCACTTGTGGCTGAGAGGATGATTTAATCAGTTCGGTGGATTCGTGGCCATCACTCGCTGTCATACACACGGATGGGCAGCAGCACAGGGCGAGCACCAACAGGGCGCACAGCAGACGGCACGTCGTCATCATCGTGAGTGTGGTCGTTCAGTGGTGTGGAGCTGATCTGCACAGTGAGGGAAATGGAGAGCAACAGGGGAGACGAGAGGTGCAGCAGACACACACAGAGGGCACACCACATGAGGAGAGGGCAGCAGCCAGGCATGCACCGTACGCCGCACACCACGCACGACACACACTCCAATCCACGGCAACACGCACACACAGCCCTGCCGCAACAACAACACACAGATGGAGGAGGGAGAAGCAAACAGGAGCGGCACACAAGGCTCCACCGCATGCACATACGGCGAGAGCGGTCCGTCGTGTCGGCACCCCTCACGGAGAATACGCACACACACAAGAGGAGGAGCAGCGCACACAGCAACACAAAAGCAAAGTAAGAATTAAAAGGAGATCCCCGCACACCACGTGGATTGTTGGTTCACGGGAAGTGCAGCCAATATTCATCACAAAAATAATTCAGTTGCCCTTTGCCTTCGTTCATATTCAGCGCACACCACTTCATGCAGGCCTGGAAACCACCACTGCAGCAGCAGCAGCACGCAAAAATATAATCACAACTAATGGAATGAAACAAGCAACCATTTATCTGTGTTTCTGTTTGGATGTTGGCAGATGTCCGCATGCGTGGTGTTGCTTTGCGGAGAGCAAACCCTCATGCCTGCATCGTGAGTTGGGGATTCCTGCAGGGTGCATAATTATGTGTTTCCTCTTGTGAATGTTTCTTGTGTTGCTGCAGCCAACAATTTGGTTTGTGTTGTTCCTGCCTTTCGCCGATAAAGTGCTGCAATAAAGAATAATCTTCCGGGCCGCTGGCCAAATCCCCAGTTTCCCAATCATAAAGACCAAACAAGGTAGGAATGAGAAAAGGGATAAACGGAATAAGAGGGGATTCACCACACCCTCAAGGCTCAACACCAGGCAAGTGTATGCTTATATATACGTATACATTCTTTAGCCACAATCGTGGCCCGCTCACTCTATTCGGATAGGATGCATATATTTATTTATTTATTTACTGCTTACGAGGTGGCAGGCTTTTGGGGTGCTGCAGCCACAAGACCCCGCCGCGTGGTGGGAAATCAAAAAAGGGGTTGGGTGAGACGGTAAAATTAAAAAATAAAAATAAATCCGGCCGCCATCGGTTCCCTGCTGCCCCTTAAATTCGTGGCCCTCACAAAATTCATGCGGTAGAAAAGTGTCGTAAAGAAGTGTATGTTCGTTTCATCGGGGTACATATATGCCATTCATTAATTTAGCCGGCCTCCTAAAGGGCTCATGCACACCCACAAGACTCCCAGCAAGAAAAGGAAAACACAGCGTGGCTGACACGGCTCAAAGTAATGCTTCTAAAACAAAGTGTGGATGACTCCGCCGACGCCACATCCGCAACACATGCCATCAACTCCTCCACGGCAGGAACAAAGTTGCAAGAAGACACACAAAAAAAAACGCCACGGCAGCACCGCATCCCTCACAACGTCGTCAACCGGCCTGAGGCCTGTCGTCTCGAATACACCTAGCGTACACCGTTCTTCCGGCATTTTTGTTGAAAAGCGGTCATCCAAAAGCCGCGATCCGTCGGTCACACGAAGAGTGCAGGCAACAGGCATGTCTGTCGCACCCTCCATCGCCCGCACAAAGCGTCGAATTGTCGTTGGCAGGAGTAATGTTGTTTCTGCTCCACGCGTCTCCATCTCCCTGGAAAAAGAGACACGCCGACTGCTGCCACCAATTCCTCCCCCGTCGCCACTCTCCTCCTTCACAAGCCCATAATACTCCGCAGAGTTGCTCATGGCAGTGTCTCCACTAACCCGAACGTGAAACGACTTGAAATTGTTCTCCCTGAAACACAAAGCAACCAAAGCAAAAGCGAGCCGGACATCCAACGGCTGCACTGGCCGAACCCCACAAAATTGCACCAAGTACACAATGAAGGGATCGCGACGGCGACACCGCAGAAAAATAGGGTCCACTGCGGAGATTAGTTTGTGTTGCACACAGTTGCGGTGTCCCTGGAGTTCTTGCATCGCCAAAAGACACACCCGTTGAGCATCGTCACGTGCGTCGACGGCCACGCAATCAAATATCCACCGCAACGCAAAGTGTTTCTTATTGGGCACCAAAAGAAAACTGAAGAAGGCGGCCCGGACAACACACACAACAAATCACACGCCAGGAAACGCTGAGATACATGCGAAAGGGCCAACGCGGGAATAGCCGCACAACCCTTCGAGAGCTGCTGCGTGAACTCCACGGTAAACGGATCAGCCTCAACGCATGGGGCACTAATGACGGCGGGTGACGGCGCGAAGGCCAACGGTTCCGCAAGGCCGGGAATTGTGAGGACGGCATTCAAACCCTCCCGGGATTCGTGTACAAAGACACGCAAATAATCCGCCCCTCGGTGCAAATCGTCATCATCCTCATCGTTATTTTTTCCGTCATTTGTATTGTCACACTCAGAGTCGGTGATGGAAGGTGCTGCCATGATAATTGTGACATCACACTGAATGAAAGAACGCAATGCCTCGAAGGGTGTCGAGTGCAGGCATCCAGTCGGGCAGCGACACGCCGCACTTCTGAAGAAGCCGATAAAAGAACTTAGAAAATGCTTTCATCCGTCATCGTAATATCGTCCAGCGGGTGCGGCCTCTTCTGCTCCTTCGGCACCTCGTTCCTCTCCAAGACACCAGCTGCCGCTGCCGTAGACCACTCTCCTGCCGCAATCACTCCCACAGAGAGACAAGGAAGAGTGTGTGGATGTGTGCCAGGAGCACAGCAACTGTCATCTTCAGAGGATGCCATCGTGGCACCGTCCGTCACGCGTCAGCACACACCGAGCAACGCACACGGCAAAGCAAAAACAACGAGGAGAGAAGAATGACCCCAAGAGCAGGCAACACCTTCACGCATGGCGGGCATCGTGCAGCCGCGTCAGCCGCCACCCAGCGGAATGAAAAGAAGGCGTCCCACACGCACCCATCCGATGTCACCGTGATTCCAACGGCAGGCACACACGCAGTGGCCTCGCCATCTCGGCACGGGATGCAAGCCAACGTCCCGCCGTCGCCAAGAGCATTCCTGCAGAGCACTGTGCAATCACTTATCTCTGTGTGTGATGGAGGAGCAGAGAAGAAGAGGAGCACAGGTAGGCACAGCTGGATGGCAGCGATACATGCGGCACGGCCCACACTCAACAATCACGCACGGTGGCGGCACACACCCATCTAATAAAAAAAAAGAAAACAAAACAAGACAAAAGAAAAACACGGCGGCAGGGTGTGGCTGTGTGTGTGGCGCTGCGGGTGTCTGCCCGCCCTGACCGCAAAACAAAACAAAACAAGAGGGAAGAAATGTGTGCTCCGCCCCACAGGCCCTCGTCGCACGCCCACACGTCACGGCTCCCGCAGCGCGCCGTTCGTCGCGGCCCCGCCTCATGCGTGCAGCAAACGAGGCGCACAGGGCCGTCGTCGTGGGCGTGTCGGTGGTGTGCGAGTGGAGCGGTTGGGCGGGAAACACACGGCACCCCTCGCAGGAAGAGTGCGGAAGAAACAATTAAAGAGGGAAGAGTAGAAAAGAAAAACGTCCATAGTGATTGCCCCCAAAAGCAAAAAAACTGTTGTGGGCATGAGGAATTTAAAAAAGCAACAACAACAGAAAACATAAAAAAAATTTTTTTTTAAAGGACACACACGCGCAACACGCAAAAAAAAATTATGAATTACAAACAGAAAGCAAAAACAAGGAAGATTATCTTAAGGAAAAAGTTAGTTCCTATGGGAATAGTATTTCCGTGCAGGGGAGGTCGCAGGTGTACCACGCGGCAGTCAGTCACGCCTCACAGAGCCGCAAGGCCCCACAGTCCCAACAGAAGCAGAAGCGATAGCAGCAGTCCGCTCCCACGCATACTGCTGGTATCGCTATTATTTCCTTGCGACACATTTACGAGGCTGCTGCTGAGTGCCGTGGCATTCACTTCCCTGACCTGTGTACTAACCTCCTCCTCCTGCCCATTTGTTCCTCCTTCTCTTGTCTCCACCGTTGGGTCGCCATCAGAAAAAGAACCGCCACCCACATTTTTATGTCCATCAGAAGATGATCTTGGCGCCACCTGCATTACGGGCTCCTCTCCTGCTGCAGGAGTAGTTATAGTGGACACTGTTGTTGTGTATGCACTGCCACTGCCCGCATTACTGCTCCCCATCGACTGTCCCTGTTCCGTCGGGTGTTTTCCGTCAGGAGTTGAGGAAGTTCCGGTTTGCTGAGCAGCTGCGGTAACCGGAGAGGCGTTAGTATCAACGGAATCAGAAGAAACTGGTGAAGGCTCCGACGACTTATCCTTCAACTGTTGAATGGTGACTTTATTCGGATTGAAGGCGGCGATCTCATTGTCACTCAACGGGCGGTTGTACAGCAGGACGTTCGTCACCGTCACAGACACATCTTCTCGGCTTTCTTTGTCCTCTGCGCCGCCTCCATCCCCTCCAATGTAAAAGTGGGAGGTCTCTTGGGATTCAGTGCTTCCCAATGCACACGATGCACCCACACCCACACGCTGACCATCGACGTACGCGGATCTCTGGTTGCCGTTCCGTAGCAAAATTACCACGTGGCGTTTTGTCCCCGGTTCCCCAGTGCTGCTGAGTTCCCCAGAATTAGTTGTTCCGTCACCGCACAGTAACATCCACTTCCTTTCTTTCTCGTACGACAACCCAAAAAATTTCCCTTGTTCACCCTTCATGTTCACACCCATCAAAGGAATGGGAGTATCTCCCTTCGGCACACCGTCGATGGACACCGTCGCCACAAGAGTAAAGTTGTAGTTCGCAAAGTGGTACAGCTGATTCTCCCCCTGCGCGCCAACGGGCCACTCCGCCCCTGCGCCACGCCCTGTGAACTTCACGCCATCGGAAGGCTCTGCCTTTGCTGCTGCACCGTTCTTCACTGTGGCGTTCACTCCGAGGTACTCGTCCCTCCACGTGTCCTCAGAGAAGTTGCCGGACAAAAAGCCAACCAGCCCAGCCGTGATCTTACCAGCGCTGCAGGCAGTGTCAGGTGAGGGAGCCTTCTGAACAAGTGAAGTGGTGCACAGCTGGAAGACGCGGCTGTCTACATCCTTCCAGGTCTTCAGCACATCCTTCACCCGCTTCAACTGCTCAGTCAGACGCACAGAGACCATACCGAGTGATTCCTCCTCACCGCCCTTCTTCTTCTCGTACAGTGCAATCAGCTCATTATTATCTCCACTTTTGTACAACAGGGAGCTGGCGGCAACCTCATCGTCTCCTTCCACAGATACCGGCCCAATATCAACAATGTGCGTATTGTCCGTCAGCCAAAGATGGAGTCTGCCCTTTACATTTACTTCTTTATCAGCCTTATTAGCATGCACCGGCAGAGTAACGAGCATCACGTCCCTGTCCTCAATCTTCGCTGTGATGAACCCACTCCTAACGCCCTTCACGTTTTCAAGCTTGTGTTTGTTGCCCCACACGCGCGAGAGTGTACCGAGTGCCTCCGTCCACGATTCCCCCTTGTCACCGGACTCGTACACCCTGCGGCGGCCATCATCACACGCAGTCATCATCATGAGTTTTCCGTCCTTCCACTCCACGACGGAGGGATCGCCGCAGCCATCGGCAGACATCCAATTCGACAGCTTCCAGCTCTTAGTATCCTTCGAGTATAGGATCAGCGAAACGGTCTTTTCATCCTCCTTCGTGGCTTCCACTGGGAACAAAAACGTACCGTCTCCCGTGTGAACACCCGATCCACCACCGCCAATCAGCCGCGTCAAGGATTGAGGTTCCTTCACAAAAGTTGTCGGTGGGACATCGTTGGTTTCTTTCCAAAGGATTCCTTTGCTGCTTCCCCCATTACCACTGACTTGACCCTTCACCAGCAAAAGCCCCCATTCATCTGCTTCACACACCCCAGCACCAGCGGCAGCAGGTTTCTGGCAGTATTTTCCAGCAAGCATGTAAATATCACTTCCCTTCACAACTGTTGTTGGTCGGCTCACATGTGCTCTCTTCTCACTCTGAGAAACAGCCAAAGCAGCTTCACGGGAAGCACAATTCTTTTTGTCGGATGGACATGCCACCAGCACTTGTGTCTTCACTTGAGCTGTAACCAACTCTTTTGATTCCTGGCCAGTTAACGTCAAGAGCTCCGAGGCAATCCCATTAAAATCGCTTTCACCCTTCAACTGCGCCTCGGCAACGGCAAATACTTCGCCATTCATCTCAACAAGACCGGGAACACGGAGCAAACCCACAGTTTCACCCCCTTTCTTCTCCGTCCAAACGTAATATTTCTCCGACGAAGCTCCCTGACTTGACGACGGCATGTCCTTACTGGATGCAGCTCCACTGCCGCAGCACAACATCACGACGAGGAGCAGCAGCACCGCGGAAGTAAACACACGCCGGGACATGTTGGGCCTCTGCGGCTCACTCTCTCTTCCTTCCCTCCTCCTTCCGCTGGATCCGGTCACGCGGCGACGGTTGTATGTGCGGGGTGCCTTCACTGCAGCAACACGTGAGACCATATAAATATGTGTGTGTGGGCGGTGTGTGTGCTGTTGGTCCTTTCAGTGCCTTCGAATTTCACAGTAGCGATTCGCGCTTGTTTGCTTTCCTAGCCTGAGTGTGTGAGAAAGAAATAAAGGAAAAATAAAAATAAAAAGAGGTACAACAATGAACACCGTCACCCATGCACAGTGAGTGGCATCATCATCCGCACTGCAGTCGCTCCCAACAACAACAACTCACGCACACAGACACACGGAACAGGAGAAGAAGGAACAGTGCACCGGGAACACACAGGGACTGCCACCACCAGCAGGGGTCACGGCGGGTATCTTGTTATTCGTCACGCGTCAGAACACACTGAACAACGCCCTTACAAAAAGAAAAAGCAGGATAAAAAAAACACAGCCGCCCTTCACAGCACACACGCGCCGCCGCCAGCCCCTTTACAGCTGTCTCCTCCAAAGCACTCGCACAGCACCCGCACAGCCGGAGAATACCTCATCAACAGATCCACAGTGGGAAAGAAACGTCCGCAGTTACAGCTGCAAAGCGGGAATCAATCCGCACTCATCCCAGGCACCCCCACTGCCACACCACTCACTGTCTGCACGCTGCAAACATAACAACAGCAACATGTCAACGAAGCAAATCGCATACTCCTTCCCTCCTCGCAAAGAGCAACCGCCGCAGCCACAATCCTGTGCGTGCGTGCATTCTCAGCGTTTTAAACACGGCATTTGTGTGTGCATGTGCTTGTGTGTTTGGCAGCGCCTATACTTGCAGAGCAGCTGTGCGCCACAAGAGAGTCTGAAGAAAGCAACGGCAGAGAGAGGCAGATAGCACACACGCAAATTACTCATATCATCGCACACACACACACACGCAGCCGCGGAATGGGTGCACTCAACCACAAAATCAAAAAGGAAAACAAAACAAAAAGCCGAAGCGTGGGACGACCAGCGCACACACTCTCTCATTACTCCCGTAAAGCAAAACACACACACAGAGGGAGAGAGAGAGAGGTCGCCCACTCAATGCAATAAAAACAAAACAGAAACAGTCACGGTGCTCCGCCCATGCAGCCAGGCAGGACGGCAGCGGTGCGTGTCGTGCAAAAGAGAGCACCAACGGGCCTGCATGGGTGTGCATGCATATATACAATGGGCACATTATTGTGTGCCTCGTGGGGTGAGGTGAGGGCGAGAGTCCATGCAAGGGGACACACACAGAGAGTGAGTGAAAGACGCGTGTGTGCGGGCGGCGCACGGCTCTCTCACACTCACTCTCACGCGGCCACCACCGCAGCAGCCGCACACGCAACAACAAGAAGAAGCAAAAGAGGGGAGGTGGTGTGGGAGACAGCGGTGCCGCTGTCACTGTTTTGTGTGCTCGTCGTACCAGTTGTGTTGGCGGTTACTGTCGTTGCTTTTGTATTTTCCCCAGTCCCTTCTGAGCTCTTGTCGTGGTGGCTTTGTGGTGTGGCTGCGGTCTCAGGCGACGGAACATTTTTTTGACCTTCACTCGCGGTGCCTTCGCCATCCTCTTCGCGGGAATGAATACCGTCTAGCGGAGGAGGTGGTGAAGGATTTCCTTCCACAATTCCCGCGGGCAGTGTGCTCTCCCCGATACCAGTTGTGAGTGGATTCTCTACCGCTGGTGTATTTTTGTCGGTTTCCTTCCTTCCTTCAACTTCCGTTTGCGTAAGATTGACATTTAATTCCCGACTGCCGGAAGGAGAAATGCTCCCTGCAGATTCAATTGACAGTTCTGTTTGCTTCTCACTGCCACTTGACTTATTTCCGGTGGACTCTGAGCCCAGTGCAACTTTTCCCTCTTGACCACTCTGCCCTTGTACTTTTTCTTCTTCTTCACCTTCCGCCCTTCCATCATCACCTTCTTCACTATCGTCAACAACATCCTCATCATCTTCCTCTGTAGGTAAGGGAGGTGGATCTTCTTTAACACCTGCTGCTCCACCTTTTAAGTCTTGCGTGCCTTGTGAAGGCGTTTCAACTCCTTTTGATTCCGGCGGAGACTTACCACCATCCAGCTGCGCACCAACTCCCACCGCCGCATCACAAGTACCGCCGGCACCGCACCACAGCACGCAGAGGGCACACACCAGCAGCACACGGCCAGTCATCATCATCGCCATCACTCCTGTCACTTGCGTGCAGCCTTCAGCAAAAACTAACAACACGTCAACGCAGAGTGAAAGCAAAGAGGAGAGACACGTCACACAGCCACGCACCGTCCACCGCAAAGTCACAAATGTCAACACACCAGCAGCAGCGCGAACACCACGAGATAGTTGGAATCAGTACGATTGCAGAACTCGCACACCGCCCTGCAAACCAGAAGGTTAAAAAGCAATAAGAAACAAGAATTCAAAAAAAACATGAGCCCAAGTGCGCATGCATACAAGTGTGTCCGCGATGCATTCAACGTGACAGATGTGGGGCACAACATGGAGCACACAGCACGGCAGCGGAGGCAAATGAAGCAAAAACAATCATCATAATTACTCTTACTTTATTTACATCGGACCACAGTAGACGTACACATGTCCCAGTGGCTTTAAGTGCTGGCACGCACAGCCCGCACACACCTCTTCAGCCCACAGCGGTGTACGCCAGCGCGGATGCGGCGAGCAGCAGCGGGGCACACACCCACGCAGAGCTGCTGAGGCTGCCGTCGACTTCACGAAGACGCGACGGTGCGCGGGTGGTCGTTGTGGTTGGCGCCTCTGTAGTCGTAGTTGTAGTGGTTGTAGTTGGTGCCCCCGGCGCAGTGGTGGTCGTGGTTGTCTCGGCAGAAGCTTTGGAGTTCATATCTGCTTGTTCCTCGGATATACTGTGGCCACTTTGTGACACTGTCGTACCTTTATCACCTTGTTTCTGTAACGCAGTGACAACCCCTTCCGAAATCGGTGTCGTATCGGTCAAACTTTGTACCGCTCCTGTATCTTTTCCTGGACTTCCAGCCGGCTTAGGCACTGGTTGTGCGGCCGGTTGTGACTGACCCTTCCCCTGTCCTCCTGATTCAGGAGGCGACGAATTGACGCCGGTTCCCTTCACATCAACTTCAGGCTTAACGTTAGTTTTAGAGTCCGGTAGCTGTGTAGTAGGGGTCGTATTCGTCTTGGCAGAGACTTCAACATCAACCGTTTCAGGATCCTGCGCAACGCATAAGAAAGGGTAGCAGCACAGGGCGAGCAACAGCAGGGCGCACAGCAGACGGCACGTCATCATCATCGTGAGTGTGGTCGTTCAGTGGTGTGGAGCTGATCTGCACAGTGAGGGACATGGAGAGCAACAGGGGAGACGAGAGGTGCGGCAGACACACACAGAGGTCACACCACATGAGGAGAGGGCAGCAGCCACGCATGCACCGTACGCCGCACACCACGCACAGCACACACTCCAATCCACTGCAGCACACACACACAGCCCTACCGCAGCACCAACACACAGATGGAGGAGGGAGAAGCAAACAGGAGCGGCACACAAGGCTCCACCGCATGCACATACGGCGAGAGCGGTCCGTCGTGCCTGCACCCCTCACGGAGGGTACGCACACACACAAGAGAAGGTGCAGCACACACAGCAACACAAAAGCAAAGTAACAATAAAAAGGAGTGATCCCCGCACACCACGTGGATTGTTGGTCCACGGGAAGTAAAGCCAATATTCATCACAAAGCAACTTATTTGCCTTCGTCCATATTCAGCGCACACCACTTCATGCACGCACAGCCACCACCGCAGCAGCAGCCGCACACGCAACAACAAGAAGAAGAAGCAAAAGGGGGGAGGTGGTGTGGGAGACAGCGGTGCCGCCGTCACTGTCGCCAGGCTTAGATGTAACATTCTTTTGAGTAGTGGCTGTTTTTGCTGTTTCTGGTTCCGTCTCACTGGCTGTGGGAGCATCGTCGGTATGTCTATCTTCAAGCCCGTCTTGTGGTTCTTTGCTGTTAGACCGTTGATCACTGTTACCAACCTTGTTCTCATTTTTCTGGGCTCCACCATTCCCACTTGTGGATATGGATGTTGCTGTTGTTTCTGCTGGATGACTTGTAGTTGCATCGTTCATCGAATCTGGTGTGTCCGTTTCTTCTCTGTTTTGGTTTGGCTCACCATTCCCTGAAGGTTTTTCCGGTGCTTCAGGCGCCGTTTCAGCGTGTGACGGTGACGTCGTGCTTTTTGTCTCAGTTGCATTCTGCGAGCCTGTTAATGCTGGTGAGTTTGTTTCCTCTGCTGAAACGGTCATCGCTGGTGATAGCTTTGTTTTTATTGGTTCTGGTGTTAATACTTGTTTGACTTCTGGTTCTATCAATGCCGTGGGATCGCTGTTGTTAGGGGACAACCCGGCATTCTGGTCGGTATCCTCCTTTCTCCCGTTCGCAGTTCCACCGCCACCGCCATTAGTGATAACCTCTTTTTCTGGTGTGCCGAGTAACCGTTCTTGCGGAAGGGAATCAATTGCTTCTTCTGGATTCACTTCAGTCGGCGATGCATCTTGAGGCGGTGATTGTGACTCTTCCCGTTTTCCTTTGGAGGTTCCCTTTTTTCCGGGCGTAAATGTTCCTCAGAGAGACTTGAAACCCCATTCGGATCAAGATGAATAGCTGGTGATTCTTCCCCGGACGCAGCAACCAAAGGTTCACTTTTACTTTCATGAGAAATATCAGCCTTTGAACATTCACTGCCACCATGACTCCCATCTGCGAGAGGAGATTGCCCACCACCACCAGGATCGCCGGAAGTTACGGGACCAACAACATCACCATCGGCAGCAACGCACCACAGCACGCAGAGGGCACACACCAGCAGCTCACGGCCAGTCATCATCATCGCCATCACTCCTGTCACTTGCGTGTGGCCTTCAGCACAAACCAACTCCCCGTCAACGCAGAGTGAAAGCAAAGAGGAGAGACAAGTTTGTTTTTGTTTTTTTTTTTTCTCTTACCAGTCGTAGTAACTACACCTCAATTGTGCAGCTCTGGTAAGCGTACGGAGGAATTCAGTAGCAAGGATAACCTTACTCCGCGGGCAGCCACTATAGAATGGCTCCAACATCTGCCCTTCCGGCCCGTAAAACTAAGTAACAACTACTCATCGGGTCTGAAGCATGAACAGCAGGCGCTTAGCTTCCTCTCTAGCAAAGAGTACTAGACCCTGGCACCACGTTGAGGTGGCCGGCTGAGCCAGGGTTAGCGCCTAGTCGTAACTTCCTTCCTAGCCTGAGTGCGTTTGTTTGCTAGAAATAAAATTAAAGTTTAAAAATCGCCAAAACAGGACGTGGCAGGTGAGTGGGTGGCACCACCATCTGCAGTGTAACACACCAGCGTCGCCGTAACCGCCACAGTAATTAATCTCCCCGTCCACAACAGCTCAGGCACTGAGGCCGCACACAGAAGCATAGACACTGACTTTTGCGTACGGGCCAAGACGCCCTCCGGCAAACGGCACCAACCAACAGACAGCCAGCAGAAATTAAAGGCGAGCAGAATCCCAAGTGCCGCGGGGTCATTGCAAGCAGCGCTCCCTCACTGCAGGGCCTCTATTAAAGCGTTCCTCGCTGCAACACCCTCACAACCCACTCGGCGTGTCGGTGGATTTTCCCGTTCACCGGAAGAAACACGGCGAGATACGTCGGCAGTGGTCGAAGACACACAGAGTGCACCGTCGACGCGATCAGCGAGCGCAGACACTCGTGAAGTGAGATCCCACAACCGCGATCCCTCCATTTACCCTCCTGGACGTGAAGAAAGCATAAAATGTCCTCCTCTCTACAGTAGTCCTGAAACGCAAAAAAAATCCGCAGGACATCCCGCGCAGCCACGGCCTCCTCAGCAGCCCGACAGTCCACGCAGCCGCACCGCTCCTCAAGAGGTCGCCAGGCCCGGTAAGGCAAGCAAAAGGGAACAGCAATTTGGTCAGGGCGTTCAGAAAAATGAGGCGCAGCGGTCGGGTGAGCGCGGTCCATCCACGTCCTCCCCTCAACAGACCCACCACACAGTCGAATCACAAAACCGAAAAGAGTCGTGGTGCCTAACGAAATAGCACGGACAATAGCGCCTCTTGCTCTCCTCAATGAAGTTTCATGGCACACACGAGGCATCACAAGAGGCAAATAATTGCATCCCATCGGCATAACCACGGAAGTAAAGCGCGCATAATTTGCCCCTGTGAACTCCCATCCAAATCGTCTCGGCCACAGAGTTTGTGTCGCCGACCCTCAGGAAGGGCTGATGCATCAACTGCCGCTGAACGATCCCCCGGCAATGAAACAAAAAGTGCCACTGTCTCTCGAATTCCGTCATCACCCTTTCCTCCCATTGAGGGAAGAGAATACAAAGTGACGGTGTGGGCGTGTCTAACTGACAGAAATGGAGGAAGTGACTCCAGCCGCGGAACAAATTGAACGAATCCTCCCCCCGAATCCTTCAAAGGGACCGGTCGGTCAACTGCCGAGGTTGACGGCGCGGAGGACAACACCTTGAATGTATGGAGCACCGCAGCAACCTGAATATATTCTGCAATATCCGCGGTCAGTTCATGAAAGTACAAAGAAGGGACAGCAAACTCAAAGGGGCATGTGAGCCCTTCAGTGATCACCTACGCCGGAGGATCGCCACCCCCACCCTCCAAGGGCTTCTCAACGACGTCAAATATTTCCACCGCATGGCACCCACAACACAATCGCGTGGCATAAAGTATCGCCTTGCAGCACCCCATGCAATGCGGCAATCGACAACCGTCTCGAACACGGCGTGCGACAAAGGTACCAAAGGAAGGCGCAGCAAATACCCTCCACATCTCAGCAGCTCCAATCATCCAGTAAAAGGCAGGAGCACCAGACAGTACCCACGAACTCAGCGAATGTGGCATCAAAAGGCAGCGAGACGTCAGATTTCGAAAAGGCCCGCACTTCTCCCCCCGTGACACTTCCACGGATGAATGCAAATGCCGTGCCCTGCGGCCTCTCGACCGCTTCGAGGCAACGTTGCGGCCACATGGCGACGGCTCAATGCGGCTGGCGATCAGATCCTGTCGTCGCGACAAAACAGTACAGAAAGTAGGGTGGTGGGCCCGCACATTCGCCTCGTTGATGCCTGCTCCCGCTGCAAGAGTGAAACTCGTCTTCCCAACAGCCGCGCTTCGGGTGGCTGAAACACCTGCCCTCACACCGGCGATGAAATATGCAAGCACCTGTAATTCCTCAACACCGTCCGTCAGAAAAAAAAACCAAAAGCGGCACTAAAATCCTGCAGCCACACATCCCTCGTAACCATTTACAAACTCGTTGTCCTGCAGAAACGCTTGAACAGCATAACAAGATGACCGTGCATTGCTGGCAAGGGACAATAGTACGTCGCTTTCATCCTGCTACGGAGAACTATGCCTCCTGCGTAACGCGACTGCAAGCACGTGGTGCGCCAACACCGAAACGGTGGGCATCTTGCCCCATGACCCTCCCCCCACAGGGGTCCAAGAAGTGCAACAGACCATCCTCCCAGCAAAGAAAAAGCCAAATGGAGCGGGTACTGCAGTGTGCGGGCCACACAACAGAAACACCCTCAGAGGACAAATGCTCTTGAATGCCCTTCAGAAGGGGCCAGCGGGTTGGCCGTGAAGCCAACAGACACCGGAGAGCCACCTGCTCTGCACGCATCCAATGACGCAATCGAGCGCGCAATGTTACAGGGCACATCAACCAGCCTGTTCTCGTCTCCGTCTGTGCGGGCATGACAGCCCTGCCATCACCCTTCGCCCTCACAAAGTATTCCACAGGGTCCTTTGAACCAGAGACCACCAGACGGCAATATTCCACCGGATGAGTGCTCTCCATGCCGCACAAAATAAAATTTTCCCACGTCGAGGACCGCAGTGAAAACGAGCATAACGATGAGCAACACGAGGGTTGTCTGTGCTGCGTTTCATCACAACACTCTATCCTCCGTTGGCTCAGGCCTCTGCCACACAAGAGGCACAGATGTAACATCACTTACACGCAACAGAGTGAAATCCGCAAGAACATTGCCATATTCATACAGGACGCAACAACCACCAGCACGGTCAGTAGCCGTTGGGATCATATTCTGCAAAACATGATCCACGCTTACAGGAAATTTGTTGTCCAGTTGCACAAATAATTGATCGGCCAAGCAACGTGGGCCCCCAAAACGACGACACCAGTCGATATTAAGCCTTGGAACCGCCAGTGAGAGCCATTGATTGAAATAAGCACCAAAGCCACCAAAGGCCAACAAAAACAGCGACAAGGCACTCGTACTTCAATCAAAGAACGGATTCGTCTCGTCTCGGAAAAAGAAAGAATAAATAATATTTTTCCTCCTCACAGAGCCTTCCAGCAATGAAACACCATCATGCAATCCGCCCCATCGGCATTACTCAGGAGCACGAGGCCTGTGCAATGTGTAGAGGACCCTGCAATCAAGCGAATGAGAAATGCTCCACGGTGGCAATCAGACTCCTCCCAGGCCAAGCATAAACCAGTCGCGAGCAGCATGTCTTTTCATGGGCTCTCCGTTTTGGTTCCAACCGAGACGGAAGGCCTTCGTCGCTCAGCACCAACCCCGCGTTGCGTCGTGTCGTCACATAAAACAAGTGAGGATGACAGAGTGCATCATCGGGGAAATTGCCCTCAAATGTGGGAAACGGCATCGCACCCGCCGGAAACAGGTGCGCATGGTGTCCCTCCACGTCAGCCGCGCAGCCTGTCAGATGAAGGAAAATTCGGTGAAACGGAAGTCAGCGCACTCACCTCCACCCCAGGCAGTTTTATCAGGAAGATCGAATCATCAAGTCGGGGGCTCCACACTTGTTGAGGGATATTGTGACCATCTGACAAGTCCACGTGCATTTCCACATAATGTCCTACTTCCTTTCCCACCTCTGCATGCGCCCGCATCGTCTCTTAAGCCATATCCAGGAGGGATCGGATGGCGAGTGGCACCTGGTCAGCCAGCGTCGCTCCATTCCTCAAAGCACCGAAGCTCAAAGCCCCAAAATCAATGGCCATCAATCGGTGATGCCGTTGGCACAAGACCTCCTCTGGCCAACGCCACACACTTTTTCCGGAGTACATGTTATCCCATGCCTCGCTGACGCCACCCTCAGCGTCCCCTACAGATACACCGTGCATTCACTCCCAAAATACAGGTGTGGGCCACACCTCAAGAAAACTGCACAATGCGCCTGCAAAGTGCTCGTTGAAAGTTACCATTGTGTTGGGTGGCAGAGGCAACGCACTCACACGTTGCACCTCTTCAGGAAATCAAAGAAGATAGCAATCAGCATTCAATTGCGATGGGCTTCGCAAACCCCCTTGCTACTTTTGTCCGATGGGGTGCTTCAGTGCATATGAAACCTTGACCGCGGGACGGAATGCCTATGCGCTCTAAAAAAGTAAGCATGAACTCATGGGAGAAGGATACATAATATAGCGGAAGCAAAATGCCACAAATAAAAAAGGCGATAAAAAAATTATATGGAGGGATATATATGAAAATAAGAGTTGATCAATGTGTAGATATATCGATATGGGTATGAGTATAAAAACGATACTTTATTCATTGCTGCATGTGTATAGATATGGATATATCCCTTCTCTCTCTACAATTTGACAGATTGCTTGGTTTCCTGATTTATTGAATTGCTATTTTATTGGCTGCATATTTATATAGATAGGCATGTAGATATCAGTACTAATATTTATTCAGCGCTTTTCATATATATATTGTTATTATTCCTCGTGTCTGCTCAAATAAATACGAAGACCCACACGCCAGCCACCATCGCAGAGCATGTCCGCCCAACGATCGGAGATGTAAAAGAGAGCCCCGGCACCCGAAGTGGGAGCCGCAGCGGAGGCCGTGAAGCACACACCACCGCTACGCACCCGCCCCGGGGATAGCGCGGTGGCTCGATAATCCGTGGCGTGCCGTGCGGTAGCGGGTCAGTCAGGCATTGCTGTGGCACTGAAACCCGCATGCTAAACGGCGAAAATGAACTGGTGGTGATCCCATCGGGCTGTCGTCGCCGGGCAACGTGCGCCTTCTCGGCGGCCTGAGCCCTCTGCCGTCGTGAAATCGGCGACAGCGTGACGTTAATCAACGCATGTGTGCATGCCATTTTAGGGAAACGGTGCACTGTTTCTCGGTGGCATTCTCCTGTGCAAAGTCGGGGTTTCTGTGTGGGTTTGATGTTCTTCATGCGGAGGTTCGAGCCTTGCAGCGCGTGGTTATTTAATCTCCATTTTCAGCTTCGTAACATTCTCGTCGTCGGAGAGACTGTGCCGTGTGTCGGTGGCCAATCCCCCGGCATTGCCCGCCTGCCTGTCGTACCAAGGGCATTTATGAAGTGCTTCCTTCTTCGGTGCCGACCGTGGCTCTGTGCTGGAGTGTTCGCGTGCTCGCATAAGGAATAGCGGTCCCGTTTTCGCTTGAGCCCTGAATTCACAGTACGTGCATTCCAACGGTGTGGATGCCGTCAGACCGTCATATTCCTGGCAGCGCCTCCTATTTGTCGGGGGAACTACTGCTTGTGGAAATGCCAAAGATGAGATACGGTTCCGACTTGCTTTTCGTAAGACGCCGTGCGGAAACTGCATGGGAGTGGCTTCGGCCTGGGCTGTGCAGTCCGCGGCGGATATGCGATCAGTGTGCCGTCTCTCGCTCTCGTCCTCGCTCAAGTGCTGGGCGGTGGTTCCGGTGGGATTTCTGGCGGCTCCGGCTCATCGGGAAAATCAAATTCCCGCAGCGCCTGGGAGCGCGTAATGCCATGGTCGTTAACCATGTGCGTCACGACACCAGTTCGGCAGCTGCGGTGCTTACCGCACACCGGGCAGTTTGCCGGGCGTCGGATCGTGGCGGGGTGAGGTCCAGCGGGAGGAGGAGGCGTTTCCGTGCAAAGTTCTTGGCGTGCCTGCTGTGCGGCATCCGTGCCGCACCAACGGCATTTTCTCGGGATGGCGGGTTGCAGTGGTCGTGGCAGCCATCAGTACTTGTGCGAAACCCCGGTGCGGAGGCAGGCCAGTGCAGCCTCTTCCCCACGAGTGAGAGTGGAGTCCGTGCGCGTGGGTTCCCAGTCGCCTCTTACGGCGGAGCGGCGAGCCTCTGGCTTGAGCTGTCGGACACAAATAACATGTTCGGCCAATGAAAACGATGCCGGTGCTCCATGTGCCTGTGAGCTGTGCGAGGTCGAACGCCGTCTTGGCCTATGCATCACATGCTTCGTTCTCGGATACGCCGCAGTGGCCAAGGACGAGCTGCATCCGTGTGCGCGCTCCTCGGTGCTGCGGGCAAGACGAAAGGTTACGTCCACAATGTGAGTCACCAGGTGATCCAAAACCGTCGACATGTGTTCGCGTGCTTCCACGGTTCGACGAGAAGGTGCATAGATGCACGCTACCGTGTAAAAAGTCCCGGTGAATATCGTACTCTCCATGCTAACACCACACACCTCCTGCACACACAAAAGTTGCGGGCCCGTACGGGGCACAAATCCCAATGCCGCGTCATCCAAGGCTCCCACGTTTCACGTGCGCACTTGAG